TTTAGTTTATTCTTCAATTGATAGATGTGAGATACTTGAAGAGAGAGGTAAATCTCTTGCAGAACACTCCAGACTTCTTGGACTAGTTTGACAATGGAATCACAGTTGTGAAGATAGATGGAGAAAGAGTTGCAGTTCTGCAGCTCAAGAGTGTGAGCATCAATGGTGCTTTCATAAGGTGTAATTGAATTCAAGACTTCCAGATTGTTAGAATCTAACACAACTGATGGAGGGACATTTACTTTCAGATTCCATCCACATAACCAATAAGCTTTGTGCTCGCAAGATGTTCTACATTGACTTTCCAGGACTATGTTAATTTGTTGAGTCAAGCTTTGTTAGTGGACAAAGGCACTAAGTAATGTGAGATTTAAGGGACTGTGATAATGAAGAACATTAGAAAGGAAGAAAGAAGGATGATGCTGGCAAGGTTGTGCGTGTTTGGAAGAAAGGCCATTGATGACCTTTTCTTGAAGGATCGAAGCTCGGAAGCAGGGCCTAATGCTTTTGATTTACCATAAAGAGAAACAAGAATTATTTTATCAACTTTATTGATTTTCTGAATGAAATCTACATTAAAACTGAGGAGATAGTATATGTACAAGAACTGATGCCACTTAACCTAACCTAACTGTCTAACTAAACTATAGTGTTAATCTCTTAACGAAACTAACTGCCCTGCCTTGCTAAATTCACGCGTGACTCTGGAGCTTGCTTACTATAGCTTTGCTATTGCTGTTGTACTGCCAGCTTTGAATCTGCTGGAGTCTACTTGCTTATAGCTTTGGCCTTATGTTTATGGCTGTTGCCTCTATCTTTATCACACATTTGCACCCACCCGTAGATTTCGGTTTCACAAACTTTGGAGCCCAAACATGAAACTAAATATGGCATTAACTATACTATTTACACAATTTGAAAATTGTTTCTGTTCTCAGACTTTAAATTCATTATTATATATATTGCATCACGCACTGTTTAGTTATTATATAAAGTGTACCACTAATTTTGGTGTGAACACTATCACACTTTTTTTTTTTTCTTTTCTAAGAATGTCCTTCATTATCTGTGATCTAATTATCTGTTCAAATCCAATTCCAGATTTGAACCATTTTCTCATTCATCATAACAACTCTCAATCACCAAAAAATTTAAATGTAAAATTGCAAATGTATCGCATTTCGTTTACCCACTGCTCTTTCTAAAATACAGCATCGTCTCCTCCAGAAAAATTTAGCTGTTGGCTTTTTGTGATCTCCCACACAAACAAACAACCCATACAGTAGTGTATTTGAGAATTAGCTATTTTTAGATGACTTTTTTACCCTTTTTATAAAAATAATGTGCAGAAAATTAGAGATAAGAGTAATGGGACAATTTTATAATGACTTTTTTGACTTATGAAAGAGTTTATTAGATGAGTTCACTTTTTTAAGTAAAATTTGAAGAAAAATATAAAGTTAAACATATTTTGGGGATGCTCTTCAGCAATCTAAAAGAGTTATTCTTAGTCAATTTCAAGTCACAAACAATTTTCAGCGAAGGAAAATAGTAATTTGTGCTGTTTGCGTTGGGGGATTTGAGGAGAGATTTGGGAAATGGAAAGGGAAAAGGTGGTGTGAAAACTTATGTGAAATATATACTTATTTTATTTCACATTTTCACCTACCTTTTCCATTTTCCTTTCCAAATTCCCTCACCAAATTCCCCAACCAACCACAGCATAAGTGTGGTCCCGCTCTTCTTATTATCAATCACAGAGGCTAACAAAAGCATCTACTCGAGCGAACGGCATCTATGTCACAATTATACCAAAATTGGAGAAGCAAAAGGCAACCATGTCATATTTCAATGGCATCCAAAAACACTTGCCACCAAACAAGAATAATGATGAATGTAGTGTATTGCAACAAAAAATCATAAATGAATCCCTTTTTCCGGTAAATTACATTGACCTACTTCAGATTTTATGAAATTAAGACCCTCCTATCAGCGTTTCTTAAAGTTTTTATTAAAAAATACAAAAAAAAAAATTCCTTCCTTGTTCGGTTTTCTTAAGGATGATTCTCTCTCTCTCTCGTCTCGCCAAAGATTTTTTGGAGGGAATATATGAATTAAACAGTTTCGAGAGCTCGGTTGTTATAGATTCGTTTAAAATTCATTTCGAGCCTCAATTTATTAAATAAATTAATTACATTTAAACCTTATTTTTAAAATTCATTAAAAAAAATTAAATCACAACTTGAATAGTCAATTGTCATTTATTTCAATTTGATAAATCCTAAAAACTTATATAAAAAAATCAAAATTTTAAACTCGGTTCAATAAAACTCATTTAAGATCGGAACTAAAATTACGAATCAAACTTAAATAAATTTTAAAATTCAATATTAAAGTTTTAAATTGAGCTTAAATAGTTAATTTATTCGACTTCTCAGTTATCCCTTAGATTTTAAGTTCATTTAACATTTTTTTTCTCTATATAATTGTTTTAATCTGTTTATCAAATATTTATTATGATATACTTTTTATTATTACAAAATTTATAAGCGTTTGCTGAGTTCAAGTTTTAAAAAGATACCACGTTTTCATGCTTTGCTTATTATTAAGTTTATTTATTTTTCTTTTTGAATTTTAATAGTTATTCGAATTCTCCTTTATTATATTCTTGCAAAATAGTTTTAATCAATTAATAAATAGTTCAATTTTTTTGAAAAGAAATATGTAATGTGGCATGAAATTTATCACTATTGTTTGTCCAATTATTTTTTGAAGTAAATATATAAAACATTAACAGGTTATTTATAAAGAGAGCAGCTTCTTTTCCATTTTCGGAATTGGATGGATGTGTACTTTTGGGATCGCGGTGGGCGTGGGACTTTAGGTGGCTCACTTGATAAATTCAAATGTCCACTGTATAAAATTCGTCGGAATGTATCATTCTTTATTAAAAATCATGTGATTAAATATCGATGTCATTTTGGATAAGATTGCATTTGTGTTTGTGATTGATTGGACAACATTGCTCTATATATTAAAACAATATTTGAAATTATCGAAACACTGTTTCAGCCGGATTTATTGAGACGTGCAACAGCAGTGTCTTTATCCTTTTTTTGGACTAAAAAAAGTTGTTCCCTTTATAAACTACTTTTCTCCTCAAACATGGGAGTGGACTACTTAATTCTGTGTAATGTCAAACTCTTTATCTTGTTGACGAAGCTGAGTAATTTTTTTTTTTTTGTTAATTTTTTTGTTTTTCCTGAGTTAGAACTGACATTGTTTTGAGATTTACAAAGCACACCCCTTCCTTATAAATAGATAATACCAAATTTTAAATGCATAACACAAATTCAGTGAAAATATTTTTTTACTTTTTTGATTTTACTTTTTTTTATCAACTATATGTTTCACAATAAGCTTTTTATTTTTATCATTTTTTTTTTAATTATACAAACAAATTTCTACTCTCATATCATATTTTTCAATTAGATTTATAACAATATGTAACCCAAAAAAAAAACATTTATTACAAAATTAAATTAGACTATAAACTTAAAAAATTAATTAATAAATAATAAAATTTAAATTTGAATATAATAACATGTTTAAAAAGTTATTGGGCACTTGTCGGCCCATTAAACCTTTAAATTTGAATTTTGGATTTGTCTAAAAGTCCGCACTTTAAAATATTTTAGTCATAAAGACATGCCGGTATGCAAAATGTACAAACTATTATATATTACGTACCCAACTGCCGTCACAGTTGTAATAAGGAACTTTCCAATCGCTCTCTCTCTCTCTCCACAATCACATCTCGCAATTTCTTCTTTCTTTTAGCTCCGAAAATTACATAACATTTTTATAGACTAAGAAAAGAGAAAACAACCTCCACCGGCGATCGATGTGTTCTCTGTCTCTCTTACAGATTGTACTAATCAATGCGATTTCTGATTGAAAGAGTGGTGATGGATTTCGTTGAATTTATTTTTTATTTTTATTTTTTGATTTTCTCTCTTTCTAGAGAGCTATAGGCTTGTGTTGTCGTCGCCAGGAAGGTTGCGTAGGGCTTCGATTGAATTCGTCGAAGAAGAAGCGGTGTCTCAAGAGAATTAAATCAATTTAGTCAGCGAGTTTCTTCTCTGGTTCTCTCATGGGTTGCCTTGATCGGTTTTGATAAGCCATCTCTTTGGCTCTTCCGTCGATCACCCGTTCCAGGCAGACGATCGCAGCGCTAGGAAACACCACTCTCTGATCTTTCAGCGGCTTACAAAATCGCTGTCGCCGCCTCACTCTGAATTCTCTCTCTTAAAAAAAAAAAAAAAAAAAAAAAAAAAAAAAAAAAAAAAAAAAAAAAATAAAAAAAAAAAAAAAAAAAGGTGCTAATGGCAGTAGAATAATAGGTTATGTTACCTTGTTGTGGGCGATTTCATCAGTTCCAAAAGTGACACATACCATACGAAAGTCGTCGGAGGAGCAGAAGAAGCTTTGGTCTTTCTTCTGAGAAGGCGGTAGTCGGAAATGAAACTCCTGCGGTTCCTCAAGTGTGACCATCTATGGCAAACCACGCCACTCGAAAAGCTTGAAGCTTGCAATAACATATTTTCTCCCTCTCCTCTCTCCTCTCTGTACCACCACCCCAGTCAACCACGAAAACAAGCCAACCGATCTCCTCTCTCATCGAATAATTAATGAATCCATCATCAGCCGCTACGACTACTGCGTGTGCCTGCCTGCTCGATTTAATTCGGGTCATATTCAGCCCTCGCATGTATCATGTTTTTTTTAATAATTATTTAGTCTTTTAATTAAAATATGATGTAAAAAAAATTAATATATTTAGAATAATATTTTAATTTTTTATAAAAAAATGTGTAAAAAAAAATAAGAGAAAAAAAAAAAATCTTAACTTTTTGATATAAATTATTAATTTTTTAATTTTTTTAATAATATTTTAATTATTTAACTAAAAAAATCGCTTGCCAATTTCAACTATTTACATTGCTAACAAAAGCTGACATTTCTGTCATCCTTAATGTGGGTGGATCTGTATTAGATAAAATTTTATGTGACACAAGTAGGTTTGTGCCCAGATTTTGGTAAACCAAGCAGCCAAACTGAATTGCATCAATGCAATGTTGTGATTCATGAATATAAAACACTTTTCCTTCTGAAGTAGGAGATCTGCATAAGTCTATATGAGATGAGAATAAAATAGAAAAAACACACTACATGTATACCTGAGCGTCATACATGATAAGGCTAGCATAAACAACTGCTAAACCAAAAACTGCATCCGAAAGACCTCTGCAATCATAAGATCAACAGTAGATATTAAACCTCCTCGAGAAATATATCAGCAACTTGCTCACCCACCCACACCAAACCAATCAACATGCACTTCCAAATGTTAAAAAAATACAGAATCTGCAAACATCACAGAATCTGCAAACATCCACCTTCGGGAGGGCACAACGGAAATGCAGCATTTTACCAATTTTACCCACCGTTCAAAGCCAAGGGACATCGCGGTGGCCACAGCTGCCTGTCACAATTGGAGAAGACTATAAATTATAGGAAATTCTATTGAAAACGAAATGAACCATGATTTTGTTACTGCAACCGACAAATCAAAATTAATTACAGAGGAATGAATAGGTGGTGACAAAGTATTCATTACGGAGGAATGGGTAGAAGGGAACCCTCCAGACCGAAAGACTGTCTTAAAATCAAAACTGTTGCTGTTGCCATAAAGGATGGCAGAAGTGAAAAGCTTTGACAGCTGCCCAATTGTCGCGGATACAGCCGCTGAAATGAGAACCTACACACATGCATACATAAAATTAAGTAAATAATTAGAAGAAATAACTACAAATAGGGGGGAGGAGGGCGGGATTAAAAATAATTATAGTAGGGGTGAGAAGTTATAAAAAATATATACATATACGAAAACATGGTACATGGTGTTTTCGGCACTTTCGTTCCTTAGAAGACAGATTGAATTCAAATGGAGAGACTTGAACCAAAAGACCTCCTCCAGCCTGATCTCTAATATCATGTTAGATGGCCTTAGATAGCACTCAACCCCAAAATTAACTCTTGAGGTGAGGGTGAATTTACACTTATCTAGTACACGTCAATGACATCCCTAGGCGAGGTGAGACTTCATTTCACACCCTACTTTATGCTCACTTAGCAGCACCCACCCACCGCAATACAAAGGATTGACCACCTTTTTACAATTATTTGCTCAAAACAATGAAGAAATAACTATGGACATAAATAAATAGTAATGATTTCAACAAGTCGAAACCCTAGTTCCGCCATTATCTCCGGGTTGGGTCACGAACATTTGAATTCACACCTTAATAATAATGCCCCAAGTGTGATCGGATGCGTAGAGGAGAATGCAAAATTGATGCCCAAATTTTCTTTGATTATGAAATTTCGGAAGATTTCATTCCCCTTAATTCCTCCGGCAAATAAACAAAAAATAAATAATAGAAATAAAAATAACAATAACAATTACAACAAATAAATAATAATTAAAAAAGATGCTAATGGTGGTAGAATAATAGGTTGTGTTACCTTGTTGTGGGCGATTTCATCAATTTCAAAAGTGACACATACGAAAGTCGTCCGAGGAGGAGGACCAGAAGAAGCTTTGGTCTTTCTTCCGAGAAGGCCGTAGTCGGAAATGAAACTCCTGCGGTTCCTCAAGTGTGACAATCTATGACAAACCACGCCACTCGAAAAGCTTGAAGCTTGCAATAACATATTTTCTCCCTCTCCTCTCTCCTCTCTGTACCACCACACCAGTCAACCACGAAAACAAGCCAACCGATCTCCTCTCTCATCGAATAATTAATGAATCCATCATCAGCCGCTACGACTACTGCGTGTGCCTGCCTGCTCGATTTAATTCGGGTCATATTCAGCCCTCGCATGTATCATGTTTTTTTTAATAATTATTTAGTCTTTTAATTAAAATATGATGTAAAAAAAATTAATATATTTAGAATAATATTTTAATTTTTTATAAAAAAATGTGTAAAAAAAAATAAGAGAAAAAAAAAAAATCTTAACTTTTTGATATAAATTATTAATTTTTTAATTTTTTCAATAACTTTTTAGTTATTTAATTAAAAAATCACTTGTCAAATAAAATCTCAGTTTCAGCTATTTTAACCCTAACTAACGGTTATTTGAGGTATCACTTATAATTGTATTTTGTTTCTTAAAAAATAACGTCTTATTTTTTTTTTTAAAAAAATATTTTAATTATCGAATTGAATTAATTATTTTTATAAATAATATGCATGAAAGGCCTTAGAGCATCTCCAATGGTAATAGGTATTTTACCTATCTAAACATTACTATAAAGTACATATTTTATTTTGCCTATCAACTATTTTATATTTCTACTCCAACCATGCTCTTTATTTTAGCTATTCATCTAAATATTATTAATTTTATAAAATGCCACATCAGCAACAAAGATGGAGGGAAATGATCCTGATGATTAAATATATTTTGCCTAGCCTTGAAGGCTAGCTACATGTAGCTAGTGAATGTGAGTTGAGCTAAAATGTCTAATTATATGCCTAGTGCATTGGAGTTGAAAAAAATGAATTAGACTAGGCATTTTGACTAACAAACATAATATACCTAGTGGGTTGGAGATGCTCTTATAAAAGGAGTGTTTGGGAAGAGAGCCGAGTTAAAATTGCCAACTAAAATATAAAATAAGTTAAAAATAATTAATATGACAAAATATTACATTCAATCCATAATTATTTTACTTTTTCTCTCATAACCATCAAATCAATTAAAAAAACAACCAAACTCTCAAACAAAATTATTTTAGTCAAATTAAAATAGTCAAAAAAAAATTAAATAACTAACTTTTCAAATAAGATCAAAAACGATTTAAAGGTAAATGCTATAAACTCTAAATTTTTTTTTATTAAGGTAGCGTTTGGTAACGTTTACGTTTTTGGTTTATGCTTACAAAAATTTTATAAACTGATTTTTTGTTTATTTTTAGAAAAATATAAATTATAAACGCGTTTGGTTTAAACAAAATGTTTAAATTTTTTTAAAAATATAAACTAAAAAATATGTTTGTTCAGGCTTAAAATATTTATATTTATTTTTATTATTTATGACAATGGAATCACACACATTATAATTGAAAAAAAATTAATTAAAAAAAATAATTGAAAAAAAATTTAATTGGAAAAAAAATTAATTGAAAAAAATAATTTAAAAAAATAATTTGAAAAAAAATTAATTGAAAAAATAATTATTTGAAAAAAAAATTAATTGAAAAAAATAATTGGAAAAAAATTTATTTGAAAAAAAATTAATTGAAAAAATAATTAATTGAAAAAAATAATGGGAAAAAAAATTATTTGAAAAAAAAAATTGAAAACTAAAAACATAAACTTATTTTTTGAGTTTACGTTTTTTTTTTTCAAATTTATAAATTAAGACAACCATTTATAAATCAAAAAAATTATCAAATAAGTTTTTATGACAGTTTTTAAAATTTTTGTAAATATAAATTGAAAATTGAAAACGGAATGATTACTACTCTTAATAAATGACCAAATATTTCGTACAGGTATGAGATCCACATTCATTTGTTAGAAAATTGAATATTCCTAACATTATTTCAATTTAAATTATTAAAATGAGATTTATAATAAGGTTGTCAAACCCCTAAAATTCTCTCAAATGTGAATATGAAATAACCTAACCCTTTAAAGATTGTAGAAATTTATTGTAATTTAAAAGGCATTGTAATAAAAATTTAATGTGAAGGTGATACCGCTCCTACAATAAAACCATATGATTGGATGGTTATCACGGTTCGGGGTGGCGGTTTGAGGGGCTGCGAATTGCCAATTTATCTTTTTATATTCTTCTTATATTTTTCGGATAAGTCGGTAGAATTGAAAATTGGACGATGGTTGCATAAGAACAGGTGGTTTGGGAAGTAAAGCTGGATGCGTATTTTGTCTGACAGGTGACTCTATCCCCCAACCCAACCTAGTCTACCACTGAATAAGTAACCCGATCGCGGGCAGGCGTCGTCGTCGGGGACAAATAACAATGATACAATCCCAAGCTGCTCTCACTACTACTTGTCATAACGGCATCGGCGGTCCTCCTCCTAACGCGTTTACCACAGCAACGCCTAAATCCCTATTATTATTCTCAACCCATTATAAGTTCCCATCAGGGGCCATGGCCATGGCCATGCCATCCACCGGCAATTATCGAATGAGGAGTAGAAGGAGGAGGAAGAGGGACACATCCACTTTTCTTTCTTCTTCGTCACCTTCTGCTGGGTCTTCTCCCCAACCGGATGAGGTCTCTCTCACACATATAATTTTGTTTTTTTCAACGTTACTTTCCTCCATGTTCTAAGGTTGCATTTCAATTATTATTATTATTATTTTTTTATTTTTATTAATGGAAAAATTAGGATGCACAAAGAAAGGGCCCCGATCTTCCAACGCTTTTGAGGAGGTTTTGGAAAGTTGCGGCTCCGTATTGGTACTCAGATGATAAAGTTGAAGCCCAACTGCAGTTGGCTGCTGTTTTTGCTCTCAGTTTAGGAACCACCGGCATCAGTGTCGGTTTCAGTTTCCTTGGCCGTGACTTCTACAACGCCCTTGCCAGTAAGAATTATTATTATTATTATTACAGTTATTTTCATACTCCTTGTCTAACTGCTTTTTTCATTCATTTATTTATTTCTTTTCGTTTGCTTCCCATTGAACTGCCAAAACATGTATCTGAATTCTTAATTCATCATTGATTTTGTTTCAATCCCATGAAAAGACAAAGACCAAGAACAGTTCACCAAGCAACTGTTGTACTACCTCGGTGCTTTTGCTGGTGGAATTCCGGTGAGCAAATTGCTCTACTTTCTTAGGTATTGCTCACTTAAGACTCTTGCTTCATGGTTATTGGTAAACACCAATATTAGGATAAAATACACCTATTATGCATTCAGTGTTCACTTTGGTTATCAAACTTTTAATTTTGTCAATTTCATCCATCAAATTTTCCAATTCGAGTCAAATTAGTCCAATTTAAAAGATGTCATATAAATCATAAACAAAACAGTAATAAAATATCCATATGATCTGCAAAGTATGCGTTTCATGTCCATTTGGTCCACAGAGTTTCAATTTTATCAATTTCATCCATAAACATTGTAATGGAGAGAACAAAACACAAGATGAAAAAAACATGAGTTTCAATTTTATCAATTCCGTTGTGTGTCACTTTATGGACCAAAGTGACACAAAACGCATATTTTAAGGACTATAGTTGTTTTTTTATTACTATTTCATTAATGATTTAGATGGACGTACGAAATTGGGAAATTTTCAACTCAAATTGAAAATTTTAGAGACAAAATTAAGACTTGGAAGGAGGACCAAATGACACAAAATGCATATTTTAGGGACCATGAATATATTTTATCCAACAGAGTTGTTATGTTGAAATCATTAGGTGAATATAGCATACCCTGAACAACCTTAAAAAAAGAAAAGTTCTTTATGAACAACCTAAACATGCTATCCATTCTTGGCTTTTGACCTTTGTTATTGTTTTGTTTTCGATAAATACGTGGAAAATTTTGTGTTTTCTTTTACTTCTTGATTATGTGTAGAGATAGATCTACATGTCTTTTCTTTGGTTTAATATTTTTTAGTTTGAGCTGTCAATTCTGTTCATACAATTGTTTTGCAGATTTTTGTGTTGAGAGACTATGCCAGAGAAACTCTTTCTTTGAGGTGGAGGTCTTGGATGACAAACTATTACATAGATCGCTATCTAAAGAATAGGACATTCTACAAAATACAGTCCCAATCAATAATTGACAATCCAGATCAGAGGATTGTTGATGATCTAAGTTCCTTCACTGGGACAGCACTTTCATTCTCTTTGACACTATTCAATGCTGCAGTAGATTTGGTATCATTTAGCAACATCCTGTATGGTATCTATCCGCCATTGTTTGCTGTACTTCTTGTTTATTCAATCGGTGGAACAGCAATTAGTGTTTTCCTTGGGAGGGTGAGTTCCTCTTCTTTGACGGTCATATTTTTGAAACTGCAGTGAAGCTTCTTGGAATAAAAGGTGGTATTTACTCCAAATGATGGGAAATGTTTCCTCTGCAATTTCAGGGACTAGTAACCTTAAACTTTTTGCAAGAGAAAAAAGAAGCAGATTTCCGTTTTGGACTGGTACGTCTTCGAGAAAATGCTGAATCAATTGCATTCTACGCTGGTGAGGACAATGAAAAGCAACTACTGCTGCAACGCTTCAGAAGTGCTTTTGAAAACTTAACTGTATGGATTACCTTCTATTCTTTTGATGTTTCTGCTTCCATAATAAACACCTTTATATAGAAGGTTTATTGCTATTATATTCCTTGTTGATGATCTATTCTATTGTCTCTCTCTCTCTCTCTCACCAACGCACATGCACATTGAGGAGAGTGATTGAGAAAAGACTAAGACAAAAAAGAAGAGTATCGGAATATTGTTTTGTTTTATGTTAAAGAGATCAACTAGGAAGCTATTTGAAAGAGTTTCTATAGTAGTGTCAATTGCGTTGGTCTCAAAAAAGGAAGAGTAGCAACTAATTTTTTTTGAAGGAATAGAGAACGTGGCAAGGTAATAGCCATAATAAATTAGAGTAAAGTTTCAAACTTTAATAGGCTCTTACTAGTTTCAATTGTTTGTTTTTAGTTTTAGCTCATGAAACTCTAGTAAGGGTAAATAATTGGGTTAATTACACCTTAACTATCAATGAATATCATCTTACCCCTCTCAACTTTAAAACCGTGCATTCAGTGAGTTGAGGGGTGTGAAGTGTAATTAACCTTAAATAACAGGGATTGGGGCAGTGGATGAGACTCTTGAGAGGTTAATTGGGGAATTCTTGATCTTTCTTGTTTTTTTTTTGGTGGGGGGGATAAAAAAATATGATTATATTAAAAGGATGCCAAGGGAGCATCCATCGCCCCTATACATTCAATGGTGTGTCATGTGTAAAGGAGGTGAGGAGATTTTTGTTCACCTATTTTTGCATTGCCCCATGGCTATTCACCAAGATTTTCCAACTTTGAATAGCTATGAAATTCTAAAACACAAAACTCTGGATTTCAATAGACACACATGTATATATATCGGTCACCTATATTTGTCTAAAATAATAAGAGATATCTAAAATTGAAATCGCATAAGTCTTTAGATAAAACATGCCAAACTTTATATAGGTTGAGTTTTTCTTCTTTCTTTTCTGTTGTTTATTTTTAGTCAGAATTTAATTTAAAGCTTTAAATTTTTTTCAAGCTCAACTTAGTCGATGCCCAATCTTGGCTTGATTTTGGTTGGCCGAATGGGCGGGCTTCGAGTTTGGCTTGTCCTATTGATAGATGTACTTATGGTGCAGAATGTTGAAAAGTTAAAAAATAATATGTTCATAGTTCACAAATTGAGTGTAATTGAGGTGGATATGTAACGAAGTTGAGAAATATTTATGAATGGACAAATATGTGAGATGGTAGAGGTAGTACTTATCAAAGATAAACTGAGGGTAAATTGATTTAGATGGTTTAGCCATATACAACAAAGACCAATAACTGCATCAGTTAGGAAGAGTAACATTGTCTCCATCAAGAATATTGCAAGGGGAGGGGGGAAGTCTAAAATTTTCTATTGAGTTAGTAAGGAATGACGTGTTAGCTTGTAATTTAACTGAAGTTATTACCCTTAATTCAGTCGATTGGCAAGATAACATTTATGTAGTTGAACTCGAAGTTGGGATGAGGATTTGTTGAGTTGAGACTACTGTGAAGATAACTTCCGAACTATTGACAATAATACTGAAATCGAGGTCTAATTATCAAACAAGTCGTCTCAAATCTCACTTGCAAAACAACATGATATCACAACATCAAGAATCAAAACTTCGGCAAACTACATCTATAAAGCTCCATGTCGTAGCTTCACCCAATTTCTTTCCTCAATATTCAAGTTCAAATGAGGTGTTCAATCAGAAGGACCAATTGTTGGAAAATAATAGTTTTTCGGCAACTTTAATGCTAAATTAAAGTGGGACCCGACCGTCGGTTGAGGTGGATCCGAGTGAGTTTGTATTTTCTTAAGTGGGAAGGTTACAATATAAAACTAATGAGCCGAAACCATTGAGTTGTGAATGAGAAATTGTCTCATAAAGTGGGCATCAATAGAAGTTGGGCTTAGGCTTGGGCTTGGGCTTGGGCTTGGACTTGGACTTGGATTTGGACTTGGACTTAGTCTTGGACTTAGTCTTGGTTAGGATTGGCCTAGGCTTGTGTATGTACATGTGTATGACTTAGTCTTGGGCATAGGCCAGGTTATGCTATGCTGGGTCAGGGTGGGCTTGTCTTGTGCATATGCTTCAAATTGGGCTTGGATCGGGTTGTGACTCAACACCTGTATCTGTTTTGCGACCCATCTGTTTGAATTTTTCAAACATTATTAGATACATATTTATTTGTATATATTAAGCACATGAGAGTTTTAGACTTTCGTAACTCTTATCCTTTGATGATAGAGTTGATGACCATATTAGTGGCCAAGAGTTTTTAACCTTTGTAACTCTAGTCCTAATGGCTAAAGTTGATAACGTTTGATGGCAATTTGATGACCCTATTGATATTAGCCTTCATGGCTAATGCTCTCCCCTACTAGTATAAATAGAGGCCTTTTCCCTCCAACTTAGGAAAAAAAAATGAACATTGGATTTTTTAAGATGGAAAATTTGTATTTTCCTTTTGTGAAAAAGTTGGAGATGTGTTTACATCAAAGGAAAAATTCCAAGGTTTTTTTTCCTATCTTCTTTTTGGTAGCCTCTTCTTTGGTTCTTGTTAGAGAGAGAGTGTTGCTCTTAGTCATTTCGCCAAAGCTATCCAGGAGGTGCTCCTGCAGTAGTTGGTTTCAACCATCGTATCCTAGGAGATAGACACCAACATTCCTCCAGCACCCATTGGTGAGGTGGCGAATATATTTTAAGGAAACTGTGTATACCACAGACTTCGGTTTGCTTTCTTTCTTGTCATTTGTTCTTAAATTTTTCAGAATTAATTTTACCTTGACGAGTTCTAATCTTTAGTCATCCATGTTAATAATTTGTTCTATTAGTGATTTTGTTTACTGGAGTTTCATGATGTAATCTAGTTCATTCCTGTATTTTTAGTTTTGCAGTTTATTCTGTATTTCATTCTTTAATAAAAAAAAAGAGAGATTGTTGTCATTTCTATTTAATTTAATTATATATATTTTTCTAGTATTATTATGGAAAAATACCAACACCAATAAAGGTCTCTGCCTTGACATTTGCTATATATGCAATGGGAGGTGTGAAATGGTGGTATCATCTATTTATTTATTGCTTTGTCTCTTTTTCCTCATGGTGGAACACTGTTGTTTGCTCCATAAAAATTCCTAATTTACCGGAGATTTTGTTGGTGGCTTTAATGGGGGAAGGGATGAAACCTTGTGGAATAATTCAATTTTATTTTCTTGCTTTGTTGGACTTCTTTATGAAGCCCTACCTCTCCAGATTAATCTCTCTCTCTCTCTCTCTCTCTTTCTCTCACAGTCCGCCTCTGCTCTCATATTGTTCATCTTCAGTGACCTAGTGCACCTTGGAGACCACCATACTTCCCAGAAGGTTCCACAGTCAACCTACTCACCCACCATTGTTTATATATGGAAATATCAATGTCTTTGTAGAAAGCATTTAGAAAAGACCTTTGAGGGTTGGGTCATTTTGGTATTTCTTGAGGATTCTGTTTATGATTCTGTCTAGGAGTTACAATTTGATCCAGACTGAACAAATTCTCTAAGAAAGAGATCATCAACCTTGATGCATTTGATTCTGTCATGCAAAACGGGATCGGCTCACTCCCCTTTTGATTTTGAAAGGACATTGTGTGAAGTGATAAATATGTGCTAAATGCTATGGAAAGCAATATGGAAAGTGTTGTGAAAATACAGGTTGCAGTGTTTACTTTGAAAGCCTGACCAGAAACACCCCTTCTCGGATGCTCAAAAAGAAAAAAGAAAAAAAAAATTTAGCAATGATTTCTCCCTCATACAAACTGTAAACCAGAAATATCTATTAGATGAAATAAAAGGACTTTACAGCAGAAATGTGGTGTCTCTACTTTGAATTCTCTACTCTTACTCTATATGCTGAACCATTTGTTTAAGTTTTTGCACATAGCTGCCCCCATCATCAATGTTGGTATAAGGTTGTGTTTATATTCGTCTTCATTTTCCATAATGTTTCTGTGTACATAAGGTTGTGTTATCAGACATCTTTGGTGGCTGAATAGCATTCTTGTTCATTCTCATCGGTACATATTACCTTATTGTGATTTAATGTCTCAAGTTCATCTTTTATTTTGCAGCAATTGCTGATATCTTCTAGAAATCTGGAGTTCTTCACCAATGGCTATCGATATTTGATTCAGATTCTTCCTGCTGCAGTTGTTGCACCCATGTATTTCTCGGGAAAAATTGAGTTTGGTGTCATTAATCAGTCTGTTTCTGCTTTCAATCATATTCTTGGAGATTTCTCTCTCATTGTGTACCAATTTCAGGCAATTAGTGCCTTTTCAGCTGTCATTGACAGACTAGGTACATTGCCTTCCTCCTCTCCTTCCCCTGCCCCCAACATATTTATTTAGCATATCTTATGTATCTCCATGTGAAGGAAATTTTGTAAGGAAGCTGGCTAATTTCATGTTGTCTGTTAATGAACAACATTGCTTGTTTCATGAGAAAGAGAGAGTTAAACATCAGTTGTCCCTTCTGGATCTCAGCTGAAATCTAGGATACCAGGTGGATTACATCATGACACTGCTGTCAGCCAGGCAGCATGCACCAAAAAGAGAAAGAAGTGGACTGAGGATATCTTTTACAAGTTGGATGCCACTTAAATTTAAACATTCATTTACACGTCCTTTGTAACTTTTACATCTTTCAAACATGCAGGTGAATTTGACGATGTTTTGGATAGCAGCAGCTCCATACATTTTTCTGATCCCTTAGAAGAGATTCGTCTTATATACTGCAATGTGAAATTTTCAACCTCCTTGCAGTCTAACGGATCCATTATCTTGGACAACCGTCAAAAATTGCTTGATATTGAGAACTTGACCCTACAGACACCATCAAGTAAAGCTACACTCGTCAGGGACTTGTCATTGAAGATATATGAGAAGGATCATCTGCTGGTAGGGATTCTGTTTTTATTTTTGAGTTAACTCGCTAAGGTAGTTAGCTAGTATAGGGTGATAGATATTGACTGGTATAGTACTGCATTAACAGGTGACGGGACCAAGTGGGAGTGGTAAAACATCATTGCTGAGAGCTATTGCTGGTCTTTGGAGCACTGGGAGGGGAAAAATCAGGTTATATGTGCAAGATACTAATCCTCAGTCAGCCCTTTCTCCAGAGCTAGCTCCTCTAGAAGCAACTGTTGTGGATGATACATATGGGAATCTTGAAAGATCTGGTTGTAGAAATTCTAGTGGTGTATTTTTCCTTCCTCAAAGACCCTATATGGTTTTGGGAACACTCCGTCAACAATTGCTTTATCCTATATGGACTGAAGATTCAATTTCTACGTCAGAAAACACAAAACAAACCGGTATGAAGTTTTGAACTCTTGTCACCGCATGTCTTTACTATGTTGAACTGTACTTAGTGAAGAACATTCCTATGACATTATCTGCCAAAACAATTTTTATTTGTTGAACACTTTTATGATGTAATAATAAATTTATCGTTGAATGCCTGTGTTTCACCACTGGAAATGTTCTACATTTTGTAATCCCTCTATATATGCGGGCTAAGAAGCGCTGATAACCATTCAACATCCTACATCCCCATCAAAAGCACTAAAGAAGAGGAGAAAAAAAAAACTAGTTGGTGTGTCCGTGGTGTGTCCCATGAAAACAAATTAATTAAAAAAAGGGACATGCCGAGTGGCATGTCTTGTACATGTCCCTGCGTCTGACACCGCTACGACACCTATTTTGAAGTGTTGATGCTTCACAATATGCGGGATGACAAAATTTAAACATTTTGTATTCTCTACATATGAGAATATTAAGCTTATGAAGAGCCATCGCTTGCATTTCCTTGTTTCCATTGGTGCGAGATAGATTTGACGTGGTGGTGGTGGACGAAGAATTGTTCTGATTGGCTGGAAGACATTTGATTTGGAGGTGGATGGTGGTGAATGAAAGGAGGCAGAGCTTTTCAAAGAGCCATAACTTTGCAGATCAAAGTTTTGTGTTGGGTGTGTGAGCAGCTTGAAGAGGCATCACAGAGGAGGTAGAGGAGTGTTTTTAAGAGTATGTGGGAGAAATCAGGTGGTGGAGTGTTGACACCTGAAAAATTATGGGGGAGTGGAGGCATTTTGAAGTGGAGATGAGAGGTTATAGAGGCAGAGGGAAGATTTGTATTCCAGAGGAAGGAATATTGGTTTGGTGAGAAGGCAAAGCAAAGAATTTGTGGGATTTTGCTTTAGCAGAGGGGCATGTACTGAAAAATAAATCGAGATCTTTTCTGGAGGTTGTAAAGATGACTGGAGAATTTGGTTCGGGTCTATCATAACAGGTCTTGAGGGGTGAGGTGGGGACTTCTTCCTCTTTCTCTTTCTCTTTCTTTTGAATATGCTACTATGTTGCTTGTTTGGAGGGATTGGAGATCTGGTGACCATTCAGTCTTCCTTGACTGGTGGTCCTCCACTGGTTGCTGCTATAAGCCCAAGGCCGGTCCTAAAGAGGTGTGACTACAGTTGATGGGACTCCTGCATATTGGAACATGGATGTATTGAATGCTATCGGTGTGCGGGCTTCGTTGCTATGGATGAAGCTAGATTGCACTTCCAGTGGGTGAGGGTGCTTGTCAGGGAAGACAGTAGTCAGATTCCAGCATTTTTGTCAATTAGAGTGGGTTGTTGAAGTTCAAGTTTTGGCAGAATCCTGTCCTCAGCCAGATTCCATGGTTGCAGTTTTGAGAGAAGGGGTATTGGTTGTGGTGAAGGAGGTAGCGTGTGGATTAGTTGTTAGCCATATGTGTTGGAGGAGTGTTCAAGGGTATCAGAGGGCTGGGACAGGGCTTAGAGAGTTGGGTCTGTCGTTTGCAATTTGAAGTGGGGGATTGCTGGGCGAGGCAATTAAAAACTCTCTGCTTCCTATTGTGCTCCTTTGTTTCCTCTCATTTTAAAGTTATTTCAGAAGCAGAAAGTTGTGGATGGATGGGTTGTTCCTGTGGGGTTTGTTATTTGTGTATGCCCAAGCTAGTAAGGAGGAAGGTCTGAACCTTGTGGATGTAGGTGGGGAGACTGGACATTGGGTTGGAGAAGGGGTAGAGGTGCATACATCCCAGATGGTGTCGGGGAGTGTGTGACTTGACTTTGGAGTATAGGGAAGAAGGAATGCGAAGGGAGAAGAGATAGGATAATCCAATGGCCCTTGGGCTGTTTTTGGATCATTGATTTGGGTAGCGATTTGTACAGGAAAAAGAAAAAGTAGTCAGAAATGTAGAATTTTTTTTGCTTATATTTCATTCACATTTCCCTCCCTTTTTCTTTTTCCCTTCACAAATTCCTACCAAAATTCATGATCCAAACATAGCCTAAGAAGTGAATGGGATGGGAAGGGGGGAAAAGCATTTTACTAGTTGACTAGAGATAGGGATGGGGATGGCAAGGGTCACTTGGGTGTACCCCCATTATTGCAAGGGCAGAGGATTTGGAGGTGTTTGTCTTCAGATATCTGCCCTCTTTTGGCAGTCCTTGCACCAAGAGGTGATGATCAAGAGGAGTCTCTGTTAGATATCTCTTGGAACCTAGAGAGAAAGAATGGTCAGACTGGGTAAAATGAAAAAGTAAGGATTTTAGTCATTTTTTTGGGAGTTTTATTGAAGGCTTTGAGGTAGAGGCAGGTCAGCTAATGGAGGCTATTGAAAAATGATGAGGATTCAAATCTGTAGGGAAGGAGAAAAAAAGGGTGGGGGAACATCCTTCTCCATAATGCAACTTCTCATTTATATGTATTATTATTTTCCTCCCCACCCCATGTGTGCGGTATATGCTTTATTTTCATATGAATCTCAATGTTGTTACAGGTTTGCAGCCTTTTTTGATGCCAGGACTGAACTCAAAAGATGTTTGTCTAAAGCCTCAAAAGCCCACAACAGATGATCTACTCCAAGTTTTGAAAGATGTTCGCCTCAGCTATATACTATCTCGTCTTAACGGTCTGGATTCTACATGTGAGTGGTCTAGTGTTCTTTCCCTTGGTGAGCAGCAACGCCTTGCTTTTGCACGTCTCTTGCTTTCAAAACCATATTTGGTTTTATTGGATGAATCCACCAGTGCTTTAGATGAAGCGAATGAGGTATTAATGGATGCATAATATCTCTCATACTTTTATAGTTGACCCTGATTCCGTTATGCATTTCTCTGGTAAAAATGCACAGCCATGGGCACTAATAGATCATTTTCCGCTCTACCTTTCACTTTACAATTTCCATTACCATTCAAATTTAGTGTTTTCCTGGTTTGTGAAAGACATATTGGAGCTCATTTTAGGGGCCATAGCCATAACGTCCTAGCAGAACAAAAATCTTTTTTTCATTACATTATAGAAATATGAACTCTAATGTAAGGGTTTTCACTCTTGTTTCCCAAGTGGAGTTTTTGAGGATCCCTCCCAAACATGAAGTATAAACCTAACTTTATTTGCTACAGTTTTCAAACATGAAGTCTAGTTCTTTTGACAATTTTTTCTTTTCTTCAAATTATTACTTCTGCTAATCATGCATGCTTCTTTCTGCAGGTCCATCTCTATCAGAAGATTGAAGCAGCTGGGATTACGTATATAAGCATTGGCCACCGAAGTACCCTTTATAAACACCATAACAGGAGACTACATATATCAACGATTGATCCTCTCAGTAGCCAACGCAATTGGTGCATTGATTCCATCAACGAAGACACCTTGTACAATATATCAAGGCAATAGGTGTAGCTGTGTTAAATGTAAAGTAGCATAATCAGTGCCTATCTTTCGATAGGTGGCTGGTTTGGACATCTTTTTTAATACTGGGATTAGATTACTAGACTGGAGATATTTGTGATTCATTCATGCAAGAATAACTTAGCAAGCTTAAATCAGAAGGAAATAAAGAAGGTTATGCCAAATTGATCTTCGGAACGCATTCTTTGCATGTTATATATATATATATATAAAAACTCGTAAGGGTAGTCCAATTGGTTGAAGGTAAGAGACCAGAGACTTATATTCTCTCTAGTCTCAGGCTCGAATTCCACTCCTAATTGGCTACTGGTAGGTCACTGCGTTTTTGCCTGGTCGATCGGCTTAAGGTCCTGTGATTAGTCGAAGTGCGATACTCCGAAAGGATGCTGGCTCGGACACTCGGTTATAAAATAAAAAAATATATATAAAATACATGCGTGGTGACTTAAATTTCTTCCTGACTATGGCTGCCCCACAATTATAAGTTCAAACTGATTGTAATGCAAATATCAACTTCATTTTCGTGTTGGTCTTGTTGGGTTAAAAATATTTGTATTGGATTCCTTTGCTTTATCAAATCAAAGATGCATATAAATGATGATGATGATGATGATGATGATGATAACGAAGTGTTCGTGAAGGCAACGGCACCTGTTAGTGCAATAAAGTACTCGTCTTCTATTGTAATTTGGTGAAGTTAGAAGGGTAAATGAGTGAATTCGTAAAATAGCAGTGTTAGTCTCCGTGTTTGACCAGGAATCAGCGTTACTGTCATGATTGATTTGATGAAATTTTATTATGAATAATGGTTGGGACCCCTTTTGGGGTCACTCTTTCACCCCTTATCACGTGGCGGGTGGTGATTGGAGGAGCAGGAAAAAAAAAAAGAAAAAAAAAATGTAACCAATGAAAGAGAGAGGGGGTCAAAGGGGGTGGGAGAAAAAGGGGATGAATCATTGTTGTTTTATTATATATACGTACAAAATTATTTTTAAAAAGCTTACAATAAAAGAATAATTTTAATTTTATCATGATATAAAAATATAACTTAAACAAATATATGTAATAATTTTAGTTGAATTATTTTTATGTGAAATATGCAAGGTAATGTTAACTATATTGTATTATAAATGTGTATTTTGAATAAATATGTGACATTTTTTTACTAAATTATAGTAATATAATAAAGTAAATGCCCCACTTTAATATTAGAAATAATGAATAAAATAGAGAAAAAGTAGCAATTAAAATAAAATAGTGATCCTCATTAATTATTTTGCTAATCTTAGCTTGATTGTGCCATAAAAGGTTTTATATGATAATTTTAATTAAATTATTTATGTATAAAACTGTGTATATGTATAATTATTTTAGAAACTAACAAATTATGCAGGCATGAGAATAATTTTAATTCAATCATGCCATAAAATTATAACGCAAATAAATATATATACATAGAAGAGCAATGCACATAGTATGAGAGAAAAATTTAGAATAATATTATAAATCTAAACTTAATTATTTAGAAATTATTCAAAATTATCATATGGTGGTTCAAATTCATTTTACACATAACCTTATACTATACAAATTCAATCCTAACTACACAATTTATTTCGGAATAAATTTGAAATAGTTAAGATGGGGTACATAGAATTATTCCTAAATTTAAGACAAAAGTAATTTTTAATAATATAGGCAATGTAGTAGGGAGGACACTGCGTGGCTATGTATCCCTTTGGGGTCTCAACTCTGAAATGAATGAAATAAAGGCATATCCTCCCCTACTCTTTGGGGATCCAGAGGAGGAGATTGCGTGGGAATCCCTTTGGGTCTGAAATGAATGCGTATTTTGCTAAGATGTTGGGTTGTTTGTTTAAGCCAACCGAGACATTGGACTGTGTACTACGTGTTTGGATCAGCACGTTGCTAAACCCACGGAGTTTCAGGATTTTGCTTGCTTTCTCCTCCAAGCCCCAGCTCCCCAGCCCCTCCTCACGTGCAAATTCAAAGCCCCACCCTTTTACCCGGTCGCTTTCGTTTTGTTTCAATTATGAATAAGATTATAGACAGATTGGCCTCCTTCCCTAAAGCCCCCTTTTCTGGTAGCCTAGGCTATTTTAGTTTTTTTTTATGACTACTTTAGTAAGTTAAAATATTTATATTTGAAGAAAAAGTTGTATTTTTTTATACTTTAGATATGATATTTGTAAAAGAAAAAATAAAATTATTATGAATTTGATATAATATTTTATCTTATTAATTATTTTAACATATTTTAAATTTTTATAAATTTTAACCCAAAAAATTTAAAAAAATCCTTTCTCAAACACCCCCATTATTTTTTACATCATCCCTAATTAGATGTGATATTTGTGAGAAAAAAAATAAAATTATTATGAATTTGATGTAATATTTTATCTTATTAATTATTTTAATCTATTTTAAATTTTTATAAATTTTAACCCAAAAAATTAAAAAAAATCCTTTCTCAAACACCCCCATTATTTTTTACATCATCCCTGTTAGTGGGACTCACACCGTTCCACTGTGAATAGATGGTGTAAAAAAAATAAAGGACTCTTTAACTAATCACAACCTAACACCTAGCAAGCGCCTTACAGCAAAAGCTGCTTTCAAATTCAAAGATATGACATGATACCAATAGAATTTACTTTCAAATATAAATTGGGATTTTGGAAGAGCACAGTTTATTCGTTTTGGAGTTACCAATTGTACAAAGCAAAGCCACTTAAAAAATCCAAATGTGGAAAGATAGAAAATTTCTTCATTCCACTATTCTTACTCTGACCGTCCGGTGATTGTGTACGCAGATATTATATATATATCAGATAAAAAAAACGAGATGATAAAATCTTACAGGAAATGTTTTACTAATTGACAGTTGTGCAGATTTTCTTCATTCTTATGAGGCGAATTTGGGGATGGGGTCTGCTATTCAACGGCAGTTTCCAAGACTCATCGTACCCTCATGAGATGGAGAAGAGACATTGCGTCCTCAATAATAAATTATTACCACCTCCCTTCCTATTTTATAATATTTCTCCCCCCTTTATTTCTGTTCCCATTCTTGGTTGTGGCAACTCCATCTATAACCTTCACAGTTCACACCAAGCTCTCTCGCTCTCTCTTTAACCTCTCTCTCTCTCTCTCTCTCCCTCCTTTAAACCACACTTCTATCGCTCTTCAAGCACAGAAAATTGGCCACGCTGCCTAGCTCTCTTTGCCCGCCCTTTGTCTTTTGTCACGGTGGAAGAAGTATTTCGGTAACAGAGGTCTGTCTTCTTGCTCAATTTCAATTTGAGGTTTCCTCCTCACTTAGACAATCCGATGTTGGTCTAACAAAGATCAACCTCGATTCTTTTTTCTTTATTCCTTTCCTCTTTTTCTTTTTTTTGTGTATGTGTGTGTTGGGGGTTGGGTTGGGTTGTGTTGTGTTGTGTTGTGTTTTGTTAAACACTAGTACCTTAGGTTTTGGAGAAGCGTTTATTTTTTCCCGTCATTCTCTCTCAGATCTGTATGTTATTTGTTTTTGTTTTTTGCTTAAAGAAAAAAAAATTTCCCCAGAAGGAAATGATGGTGGTTTGGTCTGCATTGCTTTAAAACTAGTTAGCGGAAAAGTAACTTTGCTATTATAACCAATGAAACACAGGTTGAGGTGGGTTCTACTGCAACAACTATTACTATCAAAATCGTTCTACTACTCCTATCAAAATCTTCCTTGTAACTCAACGGTTTATTTATTTATTATTTTTTTTAAAATTAGTTTTTAAGATATGCATTTGGGAACAACAATGCATCAGCTGAGTAATAGCATAGTATCTACCGGAAAGAAAACTAGGCCCTCGTTTGGGAACAGGTTAATTTAGTAATTTTTTAATTATTTAACTAAAATATGAGCTAAAAAAAATTAATATGTTTGGAATAACTTTTTGACTTTTTACGAAAATATGTGTAAAAAGTAGAGAAAAAAAGAGAATCTTTGACTTTTTGGTATGAGTTGTTGACTTTTTGACTAATTTAATAACTTCTTGACTAAAAATGAGAATTCCAAACGAGGCCTAACCTTACTTTTTAGTTTTCTAGGGTTTAACGTTTTAGTTAGTTTTCATATCATCAATCACTCTTGCTTGTATTTGTGCTTGAAGGATTCCTGGTATACACTGTCATTTCATATGCCAGATAGTTAGGGAGCTGGGAGCGTATGTAGGGTCCTCAGAAGGGTTTCCAACCCTAGTCTTATTGAATCTATGTATATAAGTGAATGAACTTTGTTTCCTAATTATTAGTCTGATCCCCTTTCATGACAGCAGACGAGAAAGTAGAGGATGATGCCAGAAAATGGACAGCTCCCTGTTCCCCCAGGCTTTCGATTCCATCCCACCGATGAGGAGCTACTTTATTACTATCTGAGGAAGAAGGTGTCATATGAAGCCATCGACCTTGATGTTATTAGAGAAGTGGATCTCAACAAACTTGAGCCTTGGGATCTCAAAGGTCAGATTACTTGTTCTGCTTAATTTTCTTCTGTAGGGGGCAAGGTTTATCACAAATTCACATTATTCAGGTGATTATATATCTCTGTTTAGTATAGAACATAGATTGGGCCCTGTCAGTTTCAGAGCGTTGAAAAAAAAATTATTACATACTCTCGGGACACGTGTTATTTTTTTGACAATAATTTATAACATTACCATAACAAAAATGTTATAGACCATGAAAAAGGTGTCTCTTAATTTATTTTGAAATGAATTTTATGGTATAAATTTAAAGTTGGTGTGATGTGAGTCCCATTTATAATAATTGTGATTCATAGATATATTTTTTTGAGTTTTTTTTTTTTTTTTTGATTTATAGTATTACTGATATCAGAAAAGGTGATAATTCTCTTACGTTGGCTTTGGCAATTGGAGGCTTCCATGACCCACTATGGTCTGTTTTAGATAATTTTAGCTATTCATGTTGTATGATTATTAGAATAGATCATCTATGGAAAAAAATAAATTAATTAAACAATTGTAAACAAATAATTAGATTACATTTATCATTCATTTATATATATATATATATATATATATAATATAAATGTGATCTAATATGCGGTTGCATGATTAACATAATTTTATTTATTTATTTGTAAGATGAGCCCAAATCCAATACAGCCAGCTAAGAGAATCTTGCACTTGGAAAAACTCCCATGCACGATGGAAGTCGAAGTAGAAAAGAGTTTGTTACCTTCGCAAAGTCTTCCAAGCGTATAGGGTTAGCGTGGGAACAAAATTAGTTGTTTTCTCCAGTTGCATGAAAGCATTAAATGTTGGGCAGCCATGCAAAAGATCGTACTAAATTGTAGGAAAGAAAACATTTTTCCAGCTTAATCCGTTGACAATGACATGACGCGTATTTTGAATTTAAAATTTCACTTTATACTTTGTGATTTAATTAATTTACATAAATTTTCTTATCATTCTAAAAATAAACATGACTCTTTTTGTGAACTAAAATGATTATCAATCTTTTCATGTAAATCACAAATATTTTTTTTGATGAACAATTTATTTTAAATTCTGTGTCTTGCTTTATGCGCGATTTATTCTCTTAATATTTTAAAAAATAAGCACATAACTTTTTTTTTTTTTTAATTACTAAGAGCATCTCCAACGATTAACCAAAATTTTTATCAAATTTGAGTAAAAAAAAATCAATTTTCCCAATTTGATACGGCTTGTTCCAACCGTGCATCAAAAGGGAAGGGTCGACCGGTAAGAGTAATTTTTTTTTTACCTGTTTGAATCTTTTTTGACCGGTTTGAACCCACTCTTTGAAAGGAAACCGGTCGACCGGTTGGTCAACCAGCCGGGCAACCGGCTGGTTGATCGGTTCAGCTCTTCCAACGGTCAGGAACAGTAATTTGGTAAAATCTGCCGCTTATGCTTAGTTTGATATTTTTTTGTTAAATTCTTATTTTGATATCAATTTGGTGAAACGATTGGGGTACCAAAAAATACTTTTTTCATCAAAATTTAAATTTGATGCCAAATTTAATTCACTGTTGGAGATGGTCTAACACATGTTTTACACTTTTTGTTGTCAACTTGAATAGAGTGCCTGATAATACTTTAATGCACATGATTATTTTCAATCCACATGATTTTTTTCAAACGGCACATCAAGTAAACAATATAAACATAAAATAAAGTAAGATTATAATAATCGATGTTTATGCATAAATATCTATAAATTTAATCACATTAAATAAATTCAATTTACACTTAATTATCCATGGTTTTAGGATGTCATTGATTTAGACATCATATGCACCATAGATGTTTGACACAAAGAAAATAAAATGAGAAAAAAAAATTCAAATTTGATATTGTGTGGGTCACAACAACGCATTGTCAAAAAAGAAAAAGAAAAAGAAAAAGAAAAAGAAGGTGAAGCACCGTGAATAAAATATATAAAAAGGGTTGGGCTTCTTTTTAGTCCGTGATTAGATTGGAGGGCACTGTTGGACCCATGGAGATTCATCATGAGTTCTGTTTTGATAATTCAAACCGTTCAATGTGTAGAATTCGTCGACTACTATATGTCTATAAAAAATCACGTTAATTGAATATTGATAGATATCTCATCGAATCAGATTTCTGTCAACTATTTATTTTTTCATCGTCTATTTTTTTTTATACAAAACTGATTTGATCACGTAACTATCGATATCCGATTAACGTGATTTTTTTAAAAATATAATATTCACGAGATCTACACATTGAACGGTTCAGATTATCAAAACGAGACCCGTGGTAAGTTCTTACGGGCCCAATAATACCCTCCAACCCCATATAAAAATGCTTACTCTCTCAAATTTACCCCAAAATGAGGTGTCAGATATAATTTAAAATTAAAATTAACGGAATATTAACCACACCCATAAAACAGACGTCATTTAGGTTATTACTTAAAAATGAGTTCAATTACACATCCACATCCCCATCCACATCCACATACATATATATAGTTACAACGACATTGCTTAAAACTTCACATATACATTATTGGCTAGAAGTCTGGTTCTGGTTAATAGTATTTTTTTTTTTTTTTCAAAAAAAAGCAACCCGGCATTTAGACATGATCATGAGGGCCATATTACCAAAACTTCAATCAAGTTTCCTATACTTTTCCATGGTGTGTATATCTATCTATCTATCTATACATATATATAGTTAAGACGTCATTGCTTAAAACTTCACATATTCGTCGAAAGTCTGGTTTTGGTTAATAGTATTTTTTTTTTTCAAAAAAAAGAAACCCAGCCTTTAAACATGATCACGAGGAACCACATTACCGAAACTTCAATTAAGTTTCCTACGCTTGTCCATGGTGTGTATATCTATCTATCTATCTATTGTGAATTGAAAAATTCTATACTTAATAAATTCACACATGAAACTTGACAAAAATGATGTGATAATGCCATTATTATAAATAAATTTATCTTCAATGATATTTTATTTTGAAATGAAATGTTCACAATGAACCACATTATTATGTATGAAAATTATGTACGAATTTTTTTGTTTGTATACCATTACTACTGTAAATAATCTAACTCTAAGACCATCTCATGTCATATTATGCAGAAAAATGTAGAATTGGATCAGGTCCTCAGAATGAGTGGTATTTTTTCAGCCACAAAGATAAGAAATATCCAACTGGAACTCGAACGAATCGAGCTACCATAGCTGGTTTTTGGAAGGCTACAGGAAGGGACAAGGCCATTCATCTCAACAACTCCAAGAGGATTGGTATGAGGAAAACTCTAGTTTTCTACACAGGACGTGCTCCCCATGGCCAAAAAACCGACTGGATCATGCATGAGTATCGCCTAGATGATGACAACACCCAAGTTCAGGTACTTTCATTTCTACCACCATTGTTCAGTTTGATTTTGGATTCAACTCTCATAACTCTCTGTCTTTCACTTTCCTTCTCGTACTCGTTGTTCAAGCTGCAGGAGGATGGTTGGGTCGTCTGTAGGGTGTTCAGGAAAAAGGGTCATAATAATAGGGGTTTCCAACCAGAAATTGTTGAAGAAGATGATCAACACCACTTTGCTCACATGAAAGCAAGTGCAAGTGGATCCCCTCCATTGGATCTTAAACAGAATTTGCAAGCGCTATATGATCAATGTAACTTTGATGGTTCCATGCATCTCCCACCGTTGTTGTCTCCTGAGTTGGCTACCCACCCATCATTTCTCTCACCCATGTCCTTCAACACTACGGATATTGAGTGTTCTCATAGCTTGCTGAGGCTGACATCTGGTGGTTGTGGAGTCATGCAACAAGAGAGGTTTAATGGGGACTGGTCATTCTTGGATAAGCTTCTTGCTTCCCATCAAAACCTGGATCAGAGCAAATGCCATCATCCTCCCTCCCAAGCTCTTGATCATGTGGGTCTTTCAGCTCAAAGGTTCCCATTTCAGTACCTTGGCTGCGAAACAGACATTTTGAAGTTTTTTAAGTAGGGTCACAATATAATCCTCTAAGAGTCACTTGGCAACAATTTTATTCTTATTTTTATTATGAATGAAATTATACATAACGAAAATGTCCTTAAGGATGAATAGGACTACTTAAATTTTTGCCTCTTTTTTTTTTTTTTTTTAAATATTTTTTATAGGTTGCTTATATAATTCTTGTTCCTCAAACTTTTGTTTTAGGCATTTAGATGCTCAGAAGCCCTACTAGTGAGACTGAAAAAATAGAAGAAGACAAAGAGGGTGTGAGAGAATACTTTGTATTCACTTGAGAGAATTTATACAACTCTTGGATTGTTGATCGGAACAAATGAGCCATTCTTCTATTTATAGGCTTCTTAGGCCTTCTATAGAATATTTCAGAACATATAAACTATAGAGAAACTTTTCATGGAAACTTTCTTTATCCTACAAGAGTGTTCTAGAATCTTTCCTAAAAATATCTATATAAACATCTACCTCATTCTAGAAGCTTCTATTGCTTCAATTCCTCTAATCTTCATTTAAATGCTCAAGAACCTATTCTAAATCCTTCATATATATTGTTCATATTCCCCCATTCTCTCAAGTTTTTCAGGAACTTTTGAAATTTTCCATTAGCCTCCATTCCTTGAGACTTCCTCTTAGTAGGCAATTTTGTGTAGATAATTTAACAGGATGTGACAATTAGGTCACCTATTTCAAAAGTCTATCCCAAACTAACATGTAGATAGACAATATAAATTTATACAAAACGAGATATAAAGATGAATGAAAAGACTAGTGCGTTTGGTTTAGTTTTGATAGATAATTTTGTAAAAAAAAAACTTGAAAATTCAAAACTTGTATGGTTATAAGTTTTCAAACTAGTTTTAAGTTATATATTTTGAAATAATTTTTAAAAATTTGAAAATTCAAAACTTGTTGGTTATGAGTTTTCAAAACTAATTTTTAAGTTTTTTTTTGGTCTAGTATTTTTTTGTTCTATAGTCAATTTTTTTTTTTTATAATAATATTATAGTCAAATTTGTTTATATCAAATTTTTTGAATGGTTATTCTTGAAACTATATTTGATATCTATTTTTTTAAAACAAATATGATTTAAATATATAGTTACCGATATTCAATCATCTTATTTTTTGTATGAATATTCTACCCAATGAATCTAAAAAAGTGAACGGTTCGAATCACTGAAATCAATTATAAAATGAGCCTATCAAACTCAAACACTCTCGTAAATTGAGATTAAAACTTGAGCCTATCAAAATGAGCCCAGGTATTTTGGATGATCTAACTAAATATGGTGGTGTAATGGATTTAGGAATACTCTCTCGTCCAAACAGAACTCCTCAATTTTCCAAGACTTGTTTTTTCCTCCCCTCTCTCTTTGATTATGGCTTCTCTTTTTATATTGCTCCCTGTGGGCCCTCACAGGGCCCACTGCCTCCTCCTAGGCTTCGACCTCATTCTTGGACCTTCTAAAAAGCCCATGGGGTACACGGCTCCTACAGTCCTTTTAATTCGGTTTTACTCGGCTACGACCCTCTACTGGACTTGGTACTGGCTAGCTGATGGACCTAGTATGGGTCGACTTGCACCTGGCCCGTTCATAAATTTCTTCTTCATTCGGCCTCCACAATTGCCCCTGAACATACGATTAACATCTATTATTTGGCGTGGTCGGCCTTCGTACTTTTCGGCTTATAGAGTTGACGGACCTCGAGAGTTGGAAATACGGCGTATGCGTGCCTTTTAGTATTGATACGTCAGATTAGCCGCCATATCGAATCATGATTGCTTCCTGCCCCTTCATAATTTGACTCTCATTTAATGCGATTTGAAATTTGTATGAGCTGCGTCTTGGATCTTTGGCATTCTTCACATCATTCTTCCTTGCCTTCCTCACAAGACTTCTGCGTTTTCAACTTTACTTCTACTACAAGAAAAAACATCTTTGGCGACCACCTTTTTTGAGTTGGTCACTAAAAGTATACTAATCTGCGACCAACATTTATTTTGGTCACGGATGATTGTGTTTTCGCGACCAACATTTTTTTGATGGCTAATAGGTATGTATTTGCAACCAAATACAAAATCTGGTCGCCAAAAGTAATGACAGGAGAGCGAAAAAAAAAGGCAGGACATCAAACCTTTTGTGACCAGTAGATTGTGGTCACAAAAAGCAAAAAAAAATGTGTAACAAAACTACGTAGTTTTGAAATTCTTAAATAAAAAACACTTTTCTTTAACCTTGAGCTTCCTTTATTGTTGCCCTCTTTCCTTAATTAAAAACACGTTTCCTCTCTATCACTCGCTACGCTTCCAATCAGTTCATCAAAGCCTAGCCACCATCTCATCACTTCGTCCCCTGTTTTTGCTGCTCTTCATCTTCGCCTCCGCCTCATACTTACTAGGCTAGTCTCTCTCTCTCTCTGTTCGTGTATATATATATAATCAATTGACCTGCCCTCTTTCAACTCCCCATGTCAGATTGGTTACTATCTTGCAACTCCTCACTCTCTACACTTCCAATCGGTTCATCAAAACCCTAGCCACTATCGTTGCCATCTTTCAACTCCCCTCCTCATCTCCAATCCTACCATTCTCACTCTGAACTCTGCTTTCGTCTCTCTCCCAGACCCAAACTCCGATTCTTCACCAATGTTTTATTTTATTTTAATCTCTATCATTTGATTTTCATACATAGACTTCTGATTGATTCATAATCTTGCTTCTCTTTCATTTTTCTTATGTACCCTTGTGTTTGTATATTTGTTTTTGATGCAGGATTTTTTTTTTTTGAATATTCATGCATGAAATTTTCTCACAAGAAAAATGAATTAAATAAAAAGAAATAAAAGGTAATAAATGATTTATTTTTCTATTAATCGTTATGTTTACAAAAAAATTTATGTAAATAATAATAATAATAAATAGATGTACTTTTCATAGGAAATCATTTAAAAAAAATGGGTCAATTGAAAGGTACTCTGAGAATAATGCCAAGTAAGGCAGAGTTATCTGGGTTCTATTGCTTACTTCGTTGATGAAATAAATCATTTTGGGATAATCTAAATTGCAAACCACATGGCTTCTGAATCTCTTATGCATATGTAGTATGTTGTATTACACTTTTATTTTAATCTTACCTTTCATAGATAAAGTTTCAAATAATTATTGTCCCCATTGACAATGTCTAGGCTAAAATTGAGAGATAAAAAAGCAGATTCAATTCAAATATTGATTTAAGGTAATTATATATTGTATTTTCCTATTTAGAATTTTTTGTTCATGGTCTAAATTGCTTTTTTTTTTTTTTTTGGGTCACACGATAGAATATTTAGTAAGTTAATAGGGTTAGATTATCACAATAAACTAATGTCATTCCATCACTATACTAAAACTTAAGCGCCACTTATGACCACTTGGACTAACACTCTATTGTATAATTAATTGGCTACTCTTGTAATTATTAGACGTCAAACTATTAACTTTATTCTCATATGACAGGATCAAAATCGGAAGTAGTGTGCAAAATTTGATTTTTTCTATTTTCTCTTTCCAATTCAAGTTGGTCTATCTCTCTGAATATGAGGGGATGTAAATATGTATATATATATTTAAAAATATTTGTGTTCCCTTATTCAAGATTTTTTGTTTACTAGGTAGATTGCTTAGTTAACATTTTATTAGAAATCTCATACAATGAAAGAAGAACAAAGAAAAATTCAGACACAAGGACAGAGAACTTTAAAGCTGTGTTTTTCATTGGCTGATAGTTAGGCAGCCGAAAAAAAGTGGGGATTTGAGTTTGTGGAATATATATCATCTTTCTTCTTATTTCATAGAAGTGGAATTTCATTGCTGCGGTGCCAAATATTGCCTTAGTATGTTTCTTAGACAGTACATTTTAAATTTTTATTTTTATTTATTTTTTAATTACCAAAAGAAACAGAAGTTGTAAATCAGATTTGTTACACATATCTTTTGTTTCTATTATGAGCCAGACTGATTGATCAAAATGAAGGTTAGAGCCAAAGAGCAGAGTAATTATTGGTTTCTTTGGCTCTAAAATATGCTCTTGTTTTATTTTTAAACTCAAAAATTGCTTTTGAGATTTTTGTTTTTCTTGTTTCCTTCGTCTTAGTGGATTCTTTTTTATTTTATTTTTTATTTTAGTCATTTTTTTTTTTTAACTTTTCAAATGTACCCAATCTAATATAAGTAAAAAATAAAATATTTGTGAAAAATATGAAAAAAATTTATAATTTTTTTTTCTAAATATAAAAATAAAAAAAAAAAAAAATTGGTATATTTTTGTATTATTGTGTATTTATTAATTTTTTAAATATTTGATATTTTTGGGTAAGTTCAATTAGAAATCATCACATAAAAGACTAATCTATTTTATTTTATAATAAAATTTGACTGTTTTCATTGCAAGGCTTTTTAACGATGTTTTTGGGTGAAGCATTAATAAATCTCAAAATATGATCTTGTGAATTATTTAGTCTTTCATTTTCTCTTATGAACCCAAATGTTGCATTAAAGTGAAAATTATACAAAATGATAATCATCTGCACATTTGAGTTTAATTTTTTAGGGATGAAAGTGGGTTTCTCTGAATGTGAAATTTACATATTTGGGCAATTCATATTATAGAGGTTGTGGATTTTTTTTAATCCTGGAACAAATCTTACATTACGAATAAGAACATAACATTCTAATGTAACACACTAATGTAATATATTAAAAAATTTATTATTATATTTTTTTCAAATGTAACAACGTAACACTCTAAATTTTTTTCATATGTAACACAAAAAAAAAAAAAAATTAGTGTCCTTTTGGGAAATTCTGTCGCGACCCGAATCTGGTATCCAAAAGTTCGGTGTCGCAACAAGATACCGAACCCGAGAAAACTGAAAAACCAGGTCCGCACTCGCCCGCCAGGGGTCACGCATCCATTCATCAGGTGTCGGGTCGGGTCGAGCGGATTTGGCGGGTCGGGCGATTCGTTGCACAGCCCTATGAACAACAAAAAAAAATTATTTTTTTGGTTGAGTTAGAAATATAAGCAGAAAATTAATTGATTTGTTTTGTTTGGTTGGGTTAGAAATATAAGCAAAAAATTAATGGGTCCGTGAACAAAAAAAGAAAAAATGAATCTCTGTTGTTATTTTTGTTTAGTTAACCATAAAAAATGAATATGATAATGCCTTGCACAAATACTGATAAGGGGTCTATGAATTATTTTTTTGTTTAGTTAACCATAAAATTGATTCGTTT